ATGGAAGGTTGTCGAAATTTGATGATTCGAGGTCACTGTGTGGCGAACACGAAGGCTGATAAAGTATGATCATATAATTAATACAAAATACGACGCCGTGTATCTATCAGGCAAGTACACAAAAAAATATTCGGGGTTGGTGAGGGTGTCATAAACAAATTGTCACCTATAATTATATGTTATATATTACATAATATGTATTTATATAGTAAAATATTACAACCCAGGCGAAATAGAGCAAGGCGCAGGCATCCCATTGACGGTCACTTCCACCTCGTTAACAATTTAAATTTTAATTAATGATTTCGCAAATATTTAGTGTATATACTTCTATGACGGTTTTAAAAATGTATCTTTTCAGTGAGTTTAGAAGGCATTATGCCAAAATTAAATAGTTGGGGGTTAGGGTCTTGAATATTTTCACCTATGCCGACTATTATTATTTATATTCGAACAGAACTGTCATGCCAACAATTTGCGGAAAAAATTCGATATTAAGGCAGTGGGTTTTTTTCCAAAAACAAAACACAGCGCGATGCGTGGACATAATATTTCACCATTGTGCTCTATGGTGTTATGTACTAGGTATTATAGCATGCCTCTTATTCCCAATGCTATTAACACGGTAAGCCTGTGGATATAAAGTTTGCAAGAACCAGCCCGTGGCTGTACAATAATTTAGACTCGTGAAACTCTTCGATATTCATTCTCCACCCGCAATAGGATAAGGCTGAAGCATCTTGGCGAAACAAAGCAATTTGTGTATAAAACTATTTCGACTCACTCCATTTAAAATGTTATAAGTATTTTTTTCAATTCCAAATACGATACTTTTGAATGAACACTACCAAAAACGTCGTGTGTTGTATTTACGCAGACAACAAAACAAAAGACGTTGCATTTTCTTATTTTGCTTCCATAAAATACACGTAAGATCTAAATTTATTTAATTCAATAACTACAACAGTTTATTTCAATTTACTTCTAAAAGCAATGTTCCAATTTGTATAGATAAAAAACTATTATCATGATAGTAAATTTTACTAATAAGAATGTTCTGATTCTTGTAGCCTGTGGGTGCCTTCATATTTTTTTATTTTTATGTGCTTTTATAATTTTAATGTCTTATAATACTGTTTTATTCACATCACACGAAAATACACTTCTCTAAAAAAATTAAACGAATACTATTAGAAATATGTACCTAGTATATGTTTTTAAATGCATCGTTTTTGATTTATAATTTCAAACATGATTTATTGAGAACCAGTAACTAACTAAATAAATTATTATAAACGATAGGTACATAGTAGTTATTATCCACAACGTATAGTAACTATAGACATAGGAAATTTAAATACAACGAATTATTTGTTGTAAATATTTACTCATGGAGAAAATCAGGATTGATATCCACTAAATATTGATTTTGAAAAATATATTATTATCCATCAAAATAAACATTTTCCAAGATTTACGAGACATTTTAAAATGTAAAGATTTTTTATAACCCTCCGGTATAATAATATAATATCCATGTTTTATTTTATTTTATCGCCGACGTTTTCTCGTCTTACGATCACTAACGCCATTTTCAGACCCAAAGTACTATGCCCCCGTAATCTTCAACATTAGAATGTCAAGTAGGTATAAAGTATACTTTCAAAAAATAAAAAAATAAATTATGCTATTCTCGTACCTTTATCGTAAAATAAAGCTGACTATATTAGAATACCGCACACTAAACAGAATTGCCCCAACAGATAACAAGGGTTGTCCGACACTCCAACGTATAAATAAAACTTTGACAAAAAAAGCATTTAAAATGTACCTATTACGAACGCACTTTGTATTGGTGTTAATAACATTAATAATATGTGCCTGTATAATATATAAGTATGTAATGCAGTACGGATTTTATTGTTTCCAAAAATATTACACTGCCATTTCTGAAATACTACTTAAGTGTTGGTATAATGCGTAAGATTCTGATAAATGGAACATAATGATTAGGTAGTGTTCGCTTTTGGTGGGTCCGTTCCAACTGCGGTCGGGAAAGTTTTTGAAATATTTCGTTCTCGTTAGTACCCTCGTGACCCTTAATTTTGACATAAATTACGACGATTCATTCACTCTCCAATTGGATTATTTATCATTAGATAAAATGTATTTCTTAACATCCAGAACTGTCAGAAATTTTAGTTTTCGTCCCAAAAACTACGAAACGCCATTGGGGCCCTATCTGATAATCGGGGTAGGAAATGTGATGAGGGATTAAGTTCTCAAGTTTAACATGTATCTGGAGATATTCACACATTCGCCTAATATTCATTGTCAATACCACAAGCTCACATTGTTAAAACCACAAAATTGGTTGGTACATAATAGTTTTACTTACGTAATTTAATGTATGATCCTACTCATATGAATAATTGGAATTAATTTAGAAATGTACAATAGACAGGGAGTCGAGGTCATTTGCATAGAACCTAAGAAACAAAATGTAATTAGCCGAAACGTAATTATCATTCACTATATTACATAATTTTTAATCAATAAAAATTAACAGCGTATTTAAAAAAAATATCTTACTATTCTTATTATACCTATGGTATTATAATATTAATACAAGCAGATAAATATAAAAATATTCATGAACCATTAATATTGTATAAACAACGTTTAAATATGCTGAAAAATATTTATGTTTGGTCAGTTAATATTTTTTCAATCGGTTATTATTTGTTAACGCCTATTTATGATACCGTAGAGCTAAATATTATTGCCTTTTAGTACACTGCTTTTTTTAGCAACATGGTTTGTTCGTATTAGTATTTAGTTGATTATTTAGTATTTATTTTTACTTTATGTTTTTAGCTCTATTTAATAGTCTTTATGCTTCAGTAGATTTTCGGTTTTGAATTATAAAAGATTTTAAAAATTGTACACAATATAACCTCCAATATATTATGTACAATTTTTTTTATTTTCTCTGTACTTATTATCAAAGAAAGCTACGGAACGAAACTAATTTTTTCTATTGAAAAAAAATCAATTTATTGCCCAAACAAATAAAACAAATTTAAAAGAATACAAATTCATTCTTGATATTAATAATATAGTTATGAATACAATTTTTTTTCGGCTATAAACTGAAAATTCATTTTATAATATCTCCCAATTTTGATTACCGCCATATTGTAATTAGTAAAAATATATATAATATGTATACCAGGTAGTATAATTATTATGGCGAGTAAAAAAGTGTTAATTTGAAGTGTTTTACGTATTTTGTTATTAATTATGTCCAATATATTTTACGAATCAAATATACTGATAGTTGTAGCCATGAATACAGAAAAAAGGTCGAAGGGGGCATATTATGATTTATGAGTCACACGAACGTTTCTAAATATAGCTCAAATTAATTTTACATGACCACATCGAAAAAATGTATACCTTGAAATTTTCGAGAAATCAACCCCCAACCCCCTCCTGTATATGTATTGCCTGTATACACTATTACTGAACACCATACTGAATTACTGTTTATGGATACTTAGTTTACTGTCGTCGGTATTCATTTTTTTCTTCAAAAAATCATAACATGTCTCTCTTTATAAGTTATAACTGATCCCGGCTAGACAATGTGCTTGAAACTCACAGTAAATCGCAATCCATAATATTGACGTCATGTTTCCATGTAAAATGACATTTCTCTAATCAAATAGTAGATGACTATTAAAATGTAAGTGTACACAAATAATGTATTTCTATAAATTATTCGAGAAACATGATATTATTTTAATATATTATTGTTATCAGTCATAACTTTAATTTTCCCAAAACGCTAGAACACCACGAATCGACACACATTGGTTATTGATATTAACTCATTGTATTATCAATATAATATAATAATAAAATTATGTTACTTAGTGTGTGATTTTCTAATCAATTTTATTACAACAGTTTTCATTCACATTGTATTCTAGTTTTTTTTATTCTCTTGACAAAGGAAGTTATTATTTTAACACTACGCAGTCGGTCATAATGACACTGTCAGAAAATCGTTAAACGTTTTCAGATGGCAGCTTTGGTACATGCTGTAAAATAATTGTATTAATATTTCACAATGGTTGTACGCGACTTATTTGAAAACTTCGTGAAAAAAATTTAAAACAATCGGTTGACTCATCCATATTTCCAAACATATGATTTTCGTATTCACTTATAATTATTAATTAGTAGAATAATATCAAAGCTTCAATAAAAGTCATCCCATTCTTATTTATCATTTTATTTTGTTTACTTTTCAAAGAAAAAAACGATTTTATTTTAAATTTTGGAATAGTCTTAATTAATTCAAATACGAAAAACCCTTGGATTTATTGATTTTATTTTATGTTTTATACTAATATTTTAAACGTGAAAACATGTTATAAAAAATTTAGGTTTAATATAAAATATTACAAAAGTAAGAGAATATTAAAACACCAAGTTCTAATTCAACGACAAACTTTTTAAACTTCCCTTTTGCAACTTTCTACTACATTTTTTTTTTATAAGAAACATTTTTTTTTAAACAATGGGATCAGCGAATATTGCACTACACATTTTGGCACTTTAAACAGTGTTTGAAATGATTGTAATTAATTCTACAATTTAAACGCGTAATCCAATCCTCAGAAAAGTAAATGCAACCTTAGTAAAATTCCTTTAGTGGAATGATTAAAAAATAATCACATTTTATTGAAAATCTTAATCTCACTGCTCAAATTAAAAAAATAACAAAATACTTTTCAAAATAGTGAGCTAGTGCGCTTACAAGAGGTCATTCAGAAACTGTAGGTCCGTAGCTTTCTTTTATGTCGCCCCACATTATCATAATAGTGCAACCGGCCGTGTGTCGGTCCGAGTTAATGTAAATTTTTTTTTTTATTATTACCTTTTTTTATCATAATGGAACCAATGAAAAATGCATAAGAGTCGTTTTGCAGGTAGACTTGAGACACATGGACGAAAAGGTCGGTTCGAACATTGTCGACGTCGGAGTGGATCTCTCAGAGTTTTACATGTCGGTCGAATGGGATATACTGGAAGTACCTGCGGTCAGGTAACATATTAAAAATAATTGAAAATGTGTAAACAAATGCATAAATTGTGAAAAAAATAAATTACTCACATATGTCTACAACGGACATGTATGTCTCTTGCGAGTGTGTCCTAGATCGGGACGCACGATTTTTGTAAAGGCACTCATAAATTATTCAACATTACGCGATCCATATATATTATATAAAGAGTACACTATGTATACCTTGGCCACTTTCTACGAGTCACAAACACAAACTCTATACGACGTACTATAGCTTTATTAAACGGCCGACGATCGTATGCGATAAAGACGAGTTTCTCGTTAAAAAAAAAACCCTAATACGATTCTATTTTTTTTTCTTTTATTTAATATCACTTTTGTTTTTAAGACGATTCCGCAAAGAGCTCTCATAAATCGACAGTACTGTTAGAAATTCGTAACATATGATATATAAGAATACGTGTCAGCAGCATATTGTTACAAAATCCATTTTGACATTCGTAATAAAAATATTATGTAAAATATAACATATTATCATTATTTTTTACTTATACAATAAACAACGTTAAAAAAACAACAAATTGTTCACGCTCAGAGATTCGCGATTACTTATTTTTATTTTGTCGTTACTCTGAAAAATAAACGAATATATTTTAATGGGGCGGAAAGTTTTTTTTTATTTACATTACGATGTGCTTTATAAAGTCAAGAATCGTAGTTAGCTTAGATTTTGGCCCTCAAACTCATTTTTTTGGTTCGAATGAAAACTTTCTTTGCTTTTAGTAATATTTCGACGTTGAAGATATTTTCGCAGATAAGGAGAAAAGCATTCTCCATTAAATTTTCATTACATTATTTTACGTGATTCGTATTCTGTTCATTTCGGTGGTCATAATAATATAACCGTTCAAGACTACTGCGATATTATTTATATTTTAATTTGTTAAAAATTAAAACGCCGCTTATCCTTTTTCTTACCTACCTTTATAACAATGTGTCGTAGTCAAGATGTCAATTAAAATGTATATTTAGTTAACACAATAATATACTATTTCCACTTGCATCGGACTTGTAAAACGTTTAAACGGTTGCAAATACTTGAATTGAATTTTTAAATGACCATTGGTATCTATATTTTGTTTTGTTTTGATTGTGATAACGGCACGATGATAATAAGTTTGGACGACATCTACTCTATGATAACATCAATCGAGTTATTGGAAATGCCATTTTCATTTTTGTGTCAAACGTGACGATAACCTTCTACACACTTACACGAATGTCTCACTCACTTGTCGCACTCAATATTCTGAACAGCAGGTCAACTTTCATAACCGTTTCGGCTGTTGTGGGTTTCTCGTTTCCATATTTTCCTACAATTCAGATCACGATGAACAGCGTGTTAAGTTTCATGTTAAATATATAATAATCGAATGTTCAAATGCTTTTTGAACGTTGCTCGAAACCTACCGATGCGTATCTTAGGAAGGGGCTCTTAGGATTTATGCACTGCTCCTAAATGGATGCATGAAACCTAGAAAACTTAAATTTGTCCGAAATTAAATACTTAAAAATTGTTCATAGTAAACGCCATGAAAATATAATATAATAATATTGTTAATGCTGGGATTATCTAGATAGTAACCTTATTATCTTTATCTTATCTAGATAAATACTAATAAACTGTTTCAAATGATCTTAAGAATTGATCTAAGATAAGGACATATCTTATCTAAATGGTTAAATAAATTATTCTAATCAAAATTTTTCGGTTTTAACTTTTAACAAGATTATTTGATATAGGTATTTTAAATGTATTCACATTGTCATCGGTTATTGAGTCTTTGTTAAATAATATAATGTATGTATTATAATATATTACGATATGTCCATAGAAGTATCTGTGTTTATTTCAATATTACTATCTAAGTAGGTTATACTTCTAAATATTAAACGCCAAATACACACGAGTATACGGAGTAGGTAAATTATTATTTATTTTCGTATGTCTCTTTTTTACATAAACAATGGTACTGCATAAGGTCCCTTCATGGCCTCACCTATCAGAAATCGAATATCGTGTAATGACACTAGTCGAATGTTCGTCGAGTTATATAATATTTTTGTTCATGGATTGTTATAATTTTATAATTTTATCTGTTACTACAAAACACTGAAACATGTCTGACAAAATTTGTAGATACTTCGATCACATTTTAAGTTGGTAGTAAAATGGTAGAATCATATGGCTATTGGGTACACCATAAATTTCATAAACAATTTATTATTTGTGCATAGGTAATATTATTGCTTAATTATGTTTATCTAGATAAAAATAAAATCTTACTTTATCAAGATAAAATATTCGTAGTTTTTCTTTATCTTTATATAGATAATACAAATGTAGTTATCTGGACTCAGCACTGAATATCATACAATGATTAGGCGTGCAATCAAAATACGTAACTCTTAATATTTTAATTTTTTTTTATTATTGACCCTATTTTGGACAATAAAATTACCCTAACACATATTTTTACTGACTAGTACCACCTACCTACCAATGGTGTTCTTGCCGACGGTTTTATTCCGCATATAACTATATATATTTATTCTATATATAATATATAGTTCCACAGAGTGTAATCGACTGAAATAAAAACATATACCGATAATGGGTTAAAAAAACTACCCGTGGACAAAATCCAGCACGTACCGTATTAAAATACATAATATTTTACTATCATATTTTGATATAGTTTGTTTTTCGTATGTTATATCATTATATTATAATAACAATCGTCGGATCAGATGTTTACCAAACACGACCAATTATTGGGTTTTCCACAATCGTTAATATACACTAATAATGATTCCCAGAAAACTACAGAGCTGTATTAATATAATCTAATATTATAATATAATACTATATTAAAAGAATTACCTCGGAATCGCCGCTGTATTTCTCTCTGTAGTGTCACGTATGCGAATATTTTTGCTTTGGAGGGACGTTTGTATAATATAATTATTAATTAATTTGTTGTTCTGTCCACAACTCACCAACGCGTGCGACGTTTGAAGTGAAAATAATAGAACAGTTAATTTTATTCTAACGTATATATTATACTGTGGATGTTGTTTCGTGTGTCATATTGTCGATGTTGTGTCGTGACGTTAAAAATATTACATTTTTTAAAATTCTCGGGTTAATTAATTTCAATTTTTATGTTTTGATAAGTACTTAAATGTCTTCTTCGCAAATAGTAGGACTAAGAGTAACGCTGTAAAAAATAAGCACAACTAAAGTAAAATTTGTCTCCACTTGATGATACATCTTCAAATATCAGTGAAAAAAACTATAAATAAGCAAAAAGTACCATAATATTATCAACTTCTACCATATTCTACCAGTTACAATAGCCACGCATCACAACGTATACTGAAACAACGATACGTTGTTTGTTAGCGCCGAAAGTGTAAAACTAAACACTCATTTATATTTGTGCAATTGATGAGGAGTTAGTGGGTAGTTTCCGCTGAGGAAGTTTTTGAGACTAGAAAATGTTTTTTAGGGTTATTCTTAGTACTTTGAACTTAAGTTAATAATCTATGTATTTTATTTTAGCTTGCATAAAAACATTGTAGAACAATGTCGTAAAATGAAACAATGTGATACATATTAAATATGCACCTATTATTTCATATTTGTACAATTTTGATTTTCATGTGTTATATAATATGTCGTTCTAATTTTACTTGATTCTTAAAGGAAAAATTTTCATGAAAAGTGAGAAGTATAAATTTAAAAGACCTTTCCTCGCCTATACATATAATATAAATATTTTTTGAATGTACCTATAGAATGGAAAATTAACTTCATTATGGTGCGATATGAAAGAAAAAGTTCAATCCATTATAATAAGTTCTTTAGTTTTGAGCCTTTCTACTTATTCTCTGATTGAAGTATACAATATACATGAAAAAAAAAGTTTTAAAATCTGAAAAACTAATAGGTAATAATTTAAGCGGAACTATATGTTATTTTTTCTAGTTTTGTAAGCGTTCTTGCGTTCTTTTAGAAAAAAAAATGTCAAGTGAATGCCATTTACATTTTTGTGATTTCAAAAATATATATTGGAAGGAAAGCTGAGGCCCCTTGAGTCCTACCCCACTTAACCTCACACATGTGTAGTGGACACACATATATACATATAAGTGTTATTATTCACAAGTTTAATCATGGTAAGATCTAAAGATTGTTCATTGCTCTCGAATAGGAACACTTAACGTTGTTTTTATGAGAGTAAAATCTCGATTTTCCAACTTCATTCATAATACGACGTTTGTGAACAAATATTAAATATAACTATTTTAGTACATTTTTTGATTTGACATAATACAGTGTAAGATTGTTCACATTTCCTCCATATAATCCAAGAGCGTATTTCAGTCCCCAAAAATCATTTTCAGAATAATAACTTATATTATAATTATTCGTTAACAATATTGAGTCGCCCCCGTGCTCTTCTAATCCACAAACCGTTTTGTGTTCTCTTAATTGGATTATGACGTGGCACTCCAAACCGGGCATCGTATATTATAATCGAAACGCGATATAAAACAAACACGATTAAATGTGCATTGTACTGTAAACACTACCGCCGCATAATGCCAATTATCTTTTTATAGGAACGAAAAGATCTACCCGTGTTGTGACGAACCATACTTGGACATAACGTTTAACATCACCATGAGAAGGAAAACGCTTTTCTACACGGTAAACATCATCATACCATGCATGGGCATCTCGTTCCTCACCGTTTTGACGTTCTACTTGCCATCCGACAGCGGTGAAAAAGTAAGAAATTGTTTTTATAATCGTTGTATCTAAGTACTTGTACCACAACCACATACCACTCATATATTTATGAACTTAGCTAATATTATACTCGATCCTGAGACAAATTATTATTCTTTGAAATGCTTATCGTAGCTAATCGAAAAATGTCGTAACATATAACTCATTTGTATGGAACAGTGGAGAGAGTTATGGTAGACAAAAAATAATTATATTTAAAAAAAAATGTTTTAGATAGATAAGTATTTTTAACGAGTGAACGAGTTAGAGGCGCCAATGATAACCATTGTGTGAAATAAAAATACATATACATTTTTTTTGACAATATATCAAATGTACCAAATATAAGAAATTCTTAAGTAATAATGTTAATTATTTTACACCCCAATGTTTCTGCTTTAATGTCTGTTTTCGGCGTTTGCTGTGAGCTATGGTAATAGGGGTGCATAATAATAATAATAATATTATTATTACTATTCATTTGAGGTAAGGAGTTATGTCAATTAGCATTTTCGTCTACGATTTAATCGGCTTTGTATTACGATCGTTAATATAATTCATATTTTAATTACACGTCACGAAATTAGTGGTTTCGAAACGCCGTTGTGATGGTTCTCTCAGTGTTTTCACATCGATCACATAATCGATCGGGACACGACGTGGATAATTTCTCTTCGGCCCTAAAAGTTGTGATAGGAAACGTGACCCGAAAAGCGAAATCACTTGGGTAAAGTAGTTACGTATTCGGCCTATGTTTATTAAAACGACTTTTTAGACAAGTTGGGATTGTATAGTCACATAACGTGCCATCGGAAAATGTCCAAGTTTCCATTTTACCCTTACACAGTACACACCCATTGTAGACCAAAACAGGAATCGAAATTTAACGAAAATTTAAGAACCAATAATTGATTTTTAAATTTATAAATAAAAATAAATAGTATATAATTTTGAACCCACCTTATTCGGATTAAATTTATTGGTGTCATCAAATGTTGCCTGATGACCACACGAATTATAATACAACATTTCTGTTGTAATTTAATTATTGTACTATAATTGTTTTCTGTCGTTAATCCAAAGTGTTCACGAGTTTTTAAATTTAAAAAATGTAATCATCACTTATGTCAATAAATTAGTGATGCATAACCGTTGGTCGCGTTTTTTTTAAATCAAATAAACACTACATTAGAATAACGTGAATCAGAATGTATTTAAATGGTTTGTCCTCGGTTATATATGCAATTTATAAGATAAATGTTACAATTTCGATAGATATGTCATCATCTATTTCAAACTCATTTTGAATTTAACTCTGTTTGTATTGATTACGCCTAATGTGTCGACAATTATTTATCGCCGTCATGCATAATATTACTGTTCAGTCAATTAACATACAATCGGCCACGGGACGAACATTATTGATCAACCATACAAATATTGTATCGAATGGAATGCGTCGAGTCGAATCGTTTGGAATTAATAATTTATCCGTCTAAATACGAGATATTTTTTACTGTTTTTTTTTTTTGTTGTTATTGTGGCTGTTTGACAATGAATCACAACTTCACAGTTAACAATAATTTCCAATAGCAAAAGCCAACTTTGAAGACTGTTTCTATCGGTTTTTATGAAAAATACGTGGCTCACATGCGTTAAGTATATTTGAATCCACAGTAAAAAGATCTAAACAGTTATATTTTTGTACTTTTATAATATGATACCTTATATGGGTCAGGGTCGTTGTACGCCATAGGGGTGAGTTTTCCAGCAATATGAGCTCTTCCAGAATTTTTTTTTATGTACACGATCACACAGATATTAACGCACGAGTCTCTCATATACCCACCTACGTATTGTATAGTGACACGTCTTAAGTGCCCTTGCTTTTGAAATAATATTCTGGACATAGTACTTTTTCCGACCGTGCATTTTTTTGTGCATAACGTCTAAACTATATACTTTCAAGCACTTACTATTCTTCAGAATATAACTTTTTTATAATCATGCATAAATATTATATCGTTATATTATAATGTTTATTGATCCGTGTTAAACTTATACATTTTGAATTTTTAAAACTATTTTAACATTTACTTTTCCTTCACACGCTTAATAATATATTATACCGACATTATATACTTTAAAGTACATAGTATAATAATATTATGGTTTCAAAATAATAAATGTACACATTTGTTTTACGATCAATAAACGTAATATATTATATTATTTATCATACAGCTATAACTTGGATGATTCTACTCAAACGTATTAAAATAATATATTAAACTTTTATTTTATTCCTGCTGATTGATATTATGTAGTATGAATGTAAATGATAATAAATCTATATGCTATAGAGGTTAATAATTTATGAATGTTATCAAAAATGCATATCTTTTCTTCGATGGGTTGAATTCAGCCACTGCCAAAAAATTTAAAGTTACAATGTGTAAGTTTTAAATTATTACTACTTTCTTATGATAAATGTAGTACAATTTGAAAAGTTTATTCTAAAAGTTGAATAATATCATACATACATTCAGTTGACATTTTAATCGGCAAAGCGTACGAATTGAGTTAGTGCAAAAGTCAATAACACAAATTTAAGTAAATTATAGATTTTGACTAACGGATTTATTACCTATTTTATTCGTTTCGCGTGAGATACCATAACTCTCGCAGTTAATTTGCGTCGTACAAATGTTATGAGCATATTAAACTCAGCCAAGTAAGCTGTTGTTTGTGGGCAAGAATAATGACTAGGACGGTCGTACTGTATGCGGAAATCGATCGGACGTGTGATTTATGATAATGTCTAGACCTTAGACATGCCACGATAACTGAACGCCGAATCAGCTGTGCATGCGTATACTACATTATAATATTGTGTGTATGTTACGTCGGAAAATGGGTTGACGTATTATTTCTAGCATTTCCAGTCCACTGAAGCTAAGACATGTGAATAAAAATAAAAATAAATAATTAACGAAATTATGGTCGAACAAAGTAATAATTTTAAGTATTATGTTTTTTTAATCATATTTTTAGATTATTTCTACCATCTCATCATATATTATTGGAATATAATATTCAGTTTAGGTAAATTCGTTCAGACAAATCATTAATATTTGAAACAAACATTTTCATTACTTTTTTTTTATTTTTAAATACTTCAAAAAGACCAAACATTAAGTTGCGTAGATGTGCTCTATTTTAAGAGACCCATTTTGAATGGGTACTTATTAATCTTTTTTTTCTCTCGTAAAGTAATAATTACAGCCGTAAATTGTATTTTTTTTTTTTTTATTGTGTGCAACGTCGTAATAATACAAAATAGGTACGGTGTTGAGTTTAATTTTCTTGTACTCGTTGTCTTTTACGCGTTTGTGAGAGAATAATAATTTGTACTAAGCTACTAAAGTAATGCTCGGGCGGCGCGACTGCTCATCGGGAGGTCGAGAGACAGAGGTTTGAGATCAGTTTTAAATTATAGTGTCAACACAACCAAATACAATGTATATTTGAACCTTATACAACGAATGTAACCGAGTTGAGTCTACATTATAATTCTTGAGACACTCCTTTTTAATTATTTTTTTGTGAACTGATCAGGGAGAGTTGTGTGACATAAAAATATCTGCTTAACGTAAAATAAAAATAATTGTTTGTGTTTTTATTATTTATTTATTGTGGATTTTTGACACCAATATTCACTATTGATGACTTATTACTGTTGATACAACGATAACCTGGGTTTAAAGAATAACAAATCAGAGCGTGTTATATTATACACAGTTGAGAACTGGTATAATCCGTAGCTTTTTCTGTAAGCCGATTAAAAAGTTAAACAACTAAATGAAGTGTTCCTAGTTTTAAATTATCCAAACAGAGAGTAGTTAAAATCGATTTTCTTAATCAAAAATAATTTAATACAATTCGGAAGATCATTTTTGAGCAGTTTAAAGATATTAGAAAATACACTAAGTAATGAATCTCTATAACATGCATGGATTATTTTCGTTGTATTAAAGGATCCGCACTTTCACCCTGACCCTATAACTTGAACAAACTAATATTATTACTTATTACTGCAGTGAGATCGAGGTGGGATTTTTGGTTTTACTATATTTTTAGAAAAATACTCATGATAAATTAACTATCAGTATTCACTATTAATTTGTTTTTCTTATCAAGGCATATTAAATATAAGAATTAAATTATCTTGACAATAGGTAAATATTGGATCTATAAATATTCTAAAAAAATAAAAATATTAAATTACTACCTTTCAGATATTTAATAAGATTATATTAATGAGATGGTCCAGTTCGCAACGATTCGAATACTTAATGTACCTAAACTCTGATGTAAATTTAAACTACTTGCATTTTATTTGAAGCAAACGGAGATAAAATAATCATACTATGTATAGTACTCCACAATAAAATTAGATGCAGATTACAAGATACTTGATAGTTGACAAGCCTCCAATAAACGTACCTTATGTTTGGCGAAGGATAGTATGTTCAAATACAGAAGTTATGTAAAATGTTTAAACAAAATTTCTGAAATTTGACAAATTATAAAGACAATACAAATTTGCATAGATAAACATAATTCATTAATAGGTATATTACAGTAGACAAAATATTATCGAAGTTTGATTTTTTAATATAATCTACTAGCATAGGTATTCTTTAAAATTTGTTTGAATCGTATAATATAATTGTTATGGATTTTACATCTTGAATACTTTCTTAGTGCACACTTAAAAGGTGGTACGAAGGTACCACGGAAATTGCAACCTCAAGCTATCATTTTTTGGACTTTACATTGATCAGTCTATGATTCAGTCAAGACACTTTGGATAATATTAAATTATAGCCATCCCGCCCATTGTTTTCAATGGGACACGCTCGTGGATTATACGAGTAGGATATTTTCCGGTAGGTAGGAAGGATAAGACCTCTACGTAATTAAAAATGTTTTATTAA